TTCTTCTTCTTCTTCTTCTTCTTCTTCTTCTTCTACTTCTCCTTCTCCTTCTCCTTCTCCTTCTCCTTCTCCTTCTCCTTCTCCTTCTCCTTCTCATTCTCATTCTCATTCTGCTTCTGCTTCTCCTTCTCCTTCTCCTTCTTCTTCTCCTTCACTTTCTCTTTCTCCCTCTCCTTCTCTCTCTCTCTCCCTCTCTCTCTCCCTCTCCCTCTCCCTCTCCTTCTCCCTCTCCCTCTCCCTCTCCCTTTCCTTCTCCTTCTAACTCTCCTTCTCTTTCTCCTTCTCCTTCATCTCTTTCTCCCTCCCCCTCTACCTCTCTTCTCCTTCCTCCTCTCCTTCTCTTTCTCCCTCTCCTTCTCCCTCTCCCTCTCCCTTTGAAAGACGACGATATAGATTACTTAGGGGGGAGTTTTACCGTGACGTCAGAGTGAGAGGTATTGACCATATTTCGATTAAATATTTAACTATTTGCAATATGTCAGAAAGGTGAAAGAAAGATAATGCGGAAAATAATGTCATTCTGAGCCAAAACGATATGGATGTATTGACAAGAACCGGTTTGTCAAGGGAAGGTTATATCGGAACCAGACTCTCCCTCGTCCCTCCGTCTTCCTCTCTTCCTCTTTTTAATCTTCTCTCGCCCTTCTTCATCCCCACTTTTCGCCTAACTCTTTCTTCCTCCCTATTCTCTCTTCTTATTTTCCTCTTCACTTGCCTTCCCTCCCTCTTAGTCACACTCACCCGACATACTCACCTTTCCCATTCCCCTTCTCCATTATTCCCTTCCCCCTTTTGTCATCCGATTCTTTTCTCCATGCCTCTCCCTCTCTCTTTCCCTCTTTTACTGAATTTCCCTTCCCCTTGCGGCCTCTCTCGCCCCCTTTCTATCCCTCTCTTTCACTGTATCGATCGCAAGCAAGCACCGACTCTCCAGGCACCGGAGTCTTTTTACCGATTTCTTACTTCTCATTTCTTCTTCTTCATCCGACTTCTCTTCTCCTTCTCTACCTTACTTTCCATTCCCTCTTTCTTCCTCCTATGATAATAGTCACACCTATGGTAATAGAGTGTAATATACTCGTAATTAAGTCAAGGTTATGCGGGTTGCTCATATTAGAGCTGGGTCACCGGGCACTCACTGATTTCCAAACATGTTCCTGGCGTGTTTTGAACAGCTGATTGATCTAGGTGGTTGGGTCGTTGTCTCTTACTTTTCTTTCCTTTGGGTGTTATGTTTTTTTTTTTCCAGGTTTTGCTATCATTTTTATGCAGAATGATATATGCAATATTACGAGAACGAAGTCATTATTCGAATATTCTATCACTGTGGAAGAGTGTTACAGCCAATGAATTATTTTTTACCTTTATCAAAATAAATCTGAAGTAACGGTAAATATCATTTGGCATCTGGTAATGTAACGTGTCGGTTATATTGATTTATCATATGCGGAATAAAATCTTGTGGCAATAGACACGCAACAACAAGCCACAAACAAAATCAATAAATTGCTAATGATTTGTGGCTTAGCATGCTAGGCCATGGCGCCATTTTGTTTACGACAAAATGGCGTCTTGCGAATTATTTATCTAACCTTTTGCCTGTTCATGTCTATGTGTCTGTCTACTGTATTCCAATATCTTTCTCTCTGTCCCTTTCCTTGTCTCTTTCCTTGATGATGATGATGATGATGATGATGATGATGATGATGATGATGATGATGATGATGATGATGATGATGATGATGATGATGATGATGATAATGATAATAATAGTAATTATAATAATTATTATTATTACTATTTATTGTTATTAGTATTAGTATAACTATTACTATTACTATTATTATTGCTATTATTATAACAAAAATAACAATAGTAACAATAATTTCAATAACATTATGATTAAAAAAAAAACTATTAGAAATAAAACAAAGCGCAGATCCAACGAAGGCGATGTGGAAAAAAAATAAGTCACAATAGCCAAATATCTTCTAAGTCTGAAAATAAACACGAAACACAACAGCAGTAATAAGAATAACTTGATTAAAAAATAGATAAGACTGTAATAATAAGTGTTTTATTTTCTTACTGCTGTGGTTGTGATTCATGTTCCTAACGTGTTTTGAACAGATCAGCTGGTTGTCGAGTGGTCAAGGGCCGAGGGGTAATCCATTTTTTTTTAATATATCTACTATGTGTGTTTGTGTTTGTGTTTGTGTTTGTGTTTGTGTTTGTGTGCGTATGCGTATGCGTATGTGTATGCGTATACGTATGCGTGTGTGTATGCGTATCCGTGTGCGTGGGCGTGGGCGTGTGTATTTGTGTGTACGTGCGTGCGCGCGCATTTGTGTGAAAATACATGTATAGTTGTGTATCTGCATGTCTCGATGCATGCACCGGCTTCCCGCAGCCACGCAGGTGGAGCAATGTTTTCTCACTGTGTGTGGTTGGGATGTGGGGGGGGGGGGGGGGGGGAGGCGGATCGATCGACGAACTGGGA